ATCTTCCAGTTTGTGGGAAATCAGACATATATCATCGGCGAAATCCAAATCCTCCAAGGCTTTTGTGTCGGTCCATTTTATGCCTGTTCCCTCGTTGGTTGCCGTTGTCTGCCGCATTATCCAATCAACTGCAATCAGGAAGATCATTGGTGACAGTAGACAGCCTTGTCTCACTCCCGTCCTCACTTCGAAGGATTCCGTGAGCCTCCCGTTGTAGATTACTTGGCATGCAGCGTTGTCATACAGCTGTTGGATGAGATGAATAATTGTCGGCGGCACCCCGTAGTAGCGAAGTAGTTGCCAAATCACCTCTCGATCGACGCTGTCGAAGGCTTTCTCAAAATCGATGAAGTTGAGATAGAGAGGTGACTGCCATTCCAAACTTTGTTCAATGATAATCCGTAGGGTGGCGATTTGGTCAATGCATGACTTGTTCCTCCTGAATCCGGCCTGTTCCGGACGAAGTTTTTCATCTAGGGCTTGTTTAATTCTCTCCAGGATGATGCGACATAGTATCTTGCTTGGAATGGACAGAAGCATAATTCCACGCCAGTTTTTACATTGACTCAAATCTCCTTTCTTTGGCAGTTTGAATAAGTATCCGTTCTTCCAGTCCTCGGGTACTTTGCCCTCTTTCCACACCTTCTCTAGTAGTGGCGTCATCAAGTCCGCTGTTGTCTCTGGGTCTATTTTCAAAGCTTCTGCTGGGATTCCATCTGGTCCTGGCGCTTTCCCAGCTTTTAGCATCTTGATGGCATTCAGGACTTCGAATTTCGTCGGAGGGTCGATGTTCATTGGTAGTTCTGCTTCCGTTGTTGGTATTGTTGGGCGCGTTGTAGGTGGCGGACGATTTAGAAGTCTTTTGAAGTGTTCAGCCCAGTGCTTCCTCTGTTCCACCTCTTTGGTGATTGACTTTCCATTGTCGTCCTTTATTGGCTTAATCTGTGTCGAACTTTTGCCCGAAAGGTGCCTAGTTGTTTGGTATAGTGTAGCGAGGTCTCCTTTGCCTGCGGCTTGTTCTGCTTCGTTTGCCATGGTTTCACAATATTTTCTTTTGTCTTCCCTGGCACTTTTCTTCACTCTTTTGTTCAGTGCATTGTAGCTTGCATTCAACTCCTGTTTCTGTTGCTCGTCGGTGCACTGGATAATCTTTTGTTTCGCCACCCTTCTCTCTTCTATTAGTTTCCAAGTGTCCGTAGAGAGCCACTGTTTGTCCTGTCTCTTTTTTCTGCTTAGGACTTCCATGCAGGTTTAACTCCACACCGTTTTCAATTTGTTCCAATGCTTTTCGACGCTGACCTTTTCGTTGGTGTTGATTTGTGTCTCGGCTTTTTCCTTTATGTTTGCAATGAAGATGTCCTTTGTAGCCTGGTCCTTCAGCTTTTGAGTGTTGAACTTGGCTTGTGGTCTATCTGCAGCTCCTGTTTCCCTGAAAGCTTTTAATTTGATTTGGATTGTCCCTTGTACGAGGTAGTGGTCTGAGCCAACGTCTGCTCCTCTTCTTGCTCTTGTGTCCAGTAGGCTGCGTCTCCACTTCCTCGATATTGTGATGAAGTCAATTTGGTTTTTGGTTCGCCCGTCTGGTGACACCCATGTAGCCTTGTGAATATCTCTGTGCTTGTAAACACTGCCACCAATCACTAGTTCGTTGAAGGCGCAGAAGTCGGCGAAGAGTTCTCCGTTTTCATTCATTTCTCCAAGAGCTTCTCTACCCATGATGAGTTCTCTTCCTGTATTGTCTGGTCCCAGTTTGGCGTTCATATCTCCCATTAGTATTTTAATGTCGCCAGCTGGAGTATTGTCTATTGCTGCCTGTAGTTGTCTGTAAAATTCTTCTTTCGCTTCGAGGTCTGCGTTGTTGGTGGGTGCATAATATTGGATTATTGACACTTTTCTTCCTTTGGAGTTGAATCTGGCGGTCATTATCCTGGACGAGATCGCTTCCCATTGCATCAGGGCTTTCGTTGCCGTTGGTGACATCATGATAGCCACGCCCTCGGTGTGCGTGTGGTTATCTTCTGGGTGACCGGAGTAGATCACTGACTCTCCCGTTGATAGTTTGGTGAGTCCACTTCCATTCCATCTGCTTTCACATATTCCCAGCACTTGGATTCTGTATCTTTTCATCTCGCTGGCGATCTGGGCAGCTTTGCCAGTCTCGTACATGGTGCGGACATTCCATGTCCCCACACAGACTTTTTCTTTTGTCGCAAGGAGATTGCTCATGGTGAAGTTTCTGTAGCAGGTTTGTTTACAGGGTGGGGTTGCTTCTACATTTTTATCCTTCATTGAATTAAATTGTTTACCGTGGCATTAGTGATTTTGCTAAAGTTTTTATGCTGGTTTTCTCAATTTATCAGCCGGCTTATGAAACTAAATTGTTTTGTTTTCCTCTCATATTAATAGGAGATGTTGAGCAATACCCTACCGTATTCACTACTTTTCAATAGAATTAAACAATTTTCTATCGAACATAACGCTACACAACAAGTATCATGTAATGCAGCGTCTTCGCCTGCAGATTCACCTGACTACTTTTTGTGGACTAGTTTTTCTTCCTCGGATACTGAGGAACACTTTCCATCTAATGAAATTGATCTATATGCTTTGGATATTGTCGATCAAACCACACAAGATATGAATGATGAGCCTGGCGTATCTGTGAATGAAGAAGCCAATGATTTCAACGCTTATTTGTAAGTTACATGGTTTCTTGGCAATTTGGCTAGTTTTATCTAGTGTTACTCGGTTGTGCATATATAAAGCAGCGATAAAAATCCGCTGTATCTTTTGTTGTAAAAAGTAAAGCAGAATCATTAACGCAAACAACTTGGTACATGAAGTTAACTGCAGTTAACAAATGGAATAAGTAATTTGGTAATGCAAACACTGAGTTTGGTTTAGTTAACCCCGGTGTAGGCTAATTCGAGATCACGCATCCCATCCCACAAAATATTTGCTTTGTAACCCAATAGATTTTCACCCTTCTGTTTTTCTGAGTAATTTCCTTTAGTTAGAATGGTAAATGGTATCAAAAAAACACATAGACTATATTGTAAAACAATTTTTTAGGATGGAGACAGAAGGTAGGACTAAAATTTTCCTATTTATGGATACTTTGCAGAAGATCTTCGTGTTTTCCAGCTAGCTTACTTGAGTGACATGTGTTCGGTACTAGTCAATGTAGAAAACATATCCAACAGTCTAAGTGGCTACCATTGAGAAAAAGCACACAGACGTAGAGAAACGAAGTGTAATGAAGCTACAGTAGATCAAAACGTTCGAGAGAAAGAATATTTAAATTCCCAAAGATAAAGAATTCAAATTCTCAAAGATAAAGAATAAATACATATGCACCATTAAAAGTAACTCCCACTTACACGATCTTCAAGAGAACCAAATGGCTTTTCTTTTTAATATTCTTATTCTCGTAGTGAGGTGACATTTTACCTCCATACTTGAGTAAATTCATTATGAAGACAGTAAAATTTACTAGTATTCGTCTCTCAAATGAAAACTCCTTCTGTTCTAAACATAAAGGAATTTAGTTTTGTCAGTATAAATATTGGTTTGTTTCCACTTGAATTAATGATTACTGACTGGTTTTTATCTTGGCTTTACGCATTTTAGAAATATGCATATTTCTACAGCTAGTCAAAATTGTCAGAAAAGGCGATATCAAGCTGCTATGTCTGCAAGTTCTGTGTTGGACAGGTTGTTTACTATGGAGGCGAAAAATATTAAGCGTACTGGTGTATCCGATGAAATGTCATCTAGTATGATAAACAATGAGAACGAATCAAACTTTGATAATTATGAACATAGACTTTGGGGTGAATTCAATGATTAATTCAAATACGAGCCGCTGTAACAAATGATATACTATGAAGTGTCTGCTTTTATATAAAGGAAATCCAAAAAATCGTAGATCTGTATATAAATTGTTGTTAGTTCATTGTACATTCCTCTGTTCAGTCTTTCATGTATAAATAAATTTTTGCTGTAATGACAGTGTTTTTAGTACATCATGTTGTTTATTGTGTATTGGTTTTTTCTTTTATTTTCGAGAACTTTCGGTGTTCGCGAATATATTTAAGGTTAGTGACTTCTGTATCAGACAGCTCACTTAAATGAATCAAAAGTAAATAAGGTTTGGGAAAAACGTGTGTGGTAGCCTCAGGTGTTCATTCACTTATGGACTCTGATTTTGTGGTCTATCGGGAAATAAGTCCTGTATGATGTTTTAATGGAGTGACCCACTTACCGTAAATCGTTTGTTATAATGTTAACTATGAGTTTCTTTAACACTGTAACCTTCCAGGATATTTGGTGTGTTAATAAAGGTGTTCCTCCTGTGTATAGTTTCCCGATTATCTGAGCCGTCATCAGTTTCAACATTAGAATGATAGAACTATTTCTTTTTTTGGTGGGGTTGGGGTGCAGAAGTGATACGGCTTATTGCCTCATTTTTGGCTGTTTCTTTAGGATGCATTTTACTTGAATAACTGGCTAAGGTTTAGTAGTGAGGGATTTTTTTGTAGTTCACTTGATAACTGACATCAAAACTATTTACTATGACTTTAAAACAGAATTGAATATAATTTCTTTCTGTAAGCATGGAAAGTAGTGATTGTATATTAGCATATATTTCAATGAGAGTATATTTAGCAGTATGACATTCTCGTAGTCGAGCCTGTCCATTTATATTAGTTACCAGTTTTAAAACTGCTTCTTTGGTTGTGGGCACTGCATTGATATCAATGAAAAGTGTTTTGTAAGATGATTTTCGTTAACATTATGGTTTCGAGGTATTGAATAGGAGCCGACTCAGTATGCTCCATATCTTACCTTAAAGAAAAAGTTCTCTACCGAGGAACTAAGGGGTTTTAACTTTTGCCACTAATGACATTACTTTTCTTTTCTCTCATGAGTTTTGAAAATCCTGATTTGTGAGACATTTTATGTTCATCGTAGCTGTAAATTGTTTTAATTTACTTTCAGATCGGTGTTCATTTCTGGAGAAATCAGCTGCAATAATCCCATGTCCTGTTACGATTCTGAGGCTTGTGGAGATGATAACCATAATTTTCGCCCCTCTGTATGCAGTCGGTCGTCTCGAGAATCTCCTGTTCAGAATGGGAATTTGGATACTGAAAGGAATATTGGCACCAGTTTGTCCAGTAACTTGTTTTGGCGCAGCAGAAGTCAGCCTCCGTTTGGTGAAACTGTGAACCATATGAATGCAGCCTGTGGACCTAGTTTTCTCAATACAGAGTCTAACCAACAAGTATCTGCTATTGGTCCTACTGATTCTGTTCATACACTGGGAAGTTCGCACTACACGACTGGAACTGGTCTTTCCAGCAGCGCTCGTTCTGTTGGTTTGTCCAACTCAAACAGAATTTCCATGACTGGAAATTCTCGTATTTCTCATCAGCGTCGTATTCCTCGAACTAATCGTTTCACGCAAAATCGAGATAATGTTCCTGGCTTACTAAGTAGTAGCAGCAGTAACAGTAGTCTAGTCGGAAGATATCGTACAATAAGTGGAGTTAATTCACGCCCACAGTCAATTGATCCGTCTACATGTGAATCTCATTTGTCTCGTTTACTAAGGTTCGGTTCACTTCGATTTGATGAAACTATCACAGATGTAACTGAGACATCAACCAGGAGGCAGGATTCTCCTTTGGGTGACTATTCAAATGATGAATTTCCCGAACTTCCTGTCAGATTAGGATCAGGTCCTTGTAATTTCCGCTCAGCTGCTAGTTCATCTGCGAATGCTAGTCCATCTGTAACTTCAAATGCACCATCTACACCTAATAACACTTCAGAATCTCAGGAACAGACACAATGTAATTCCCCTATCACTCCTACACATGTATCTTCGATCTTGCCGTCATCCAGTATTATCACAAATTCTGACTGTAATACCGAACATTGTACTGGTTCAGTAACTCAAGTTAGCTGCTCAGTCACCACTACCGATATTCCTAGTTCTGAAACGACCAGCGTTTTTGTTCCATCAACTCCAAAACAATGTTCTGTCAAGTTTCCTAAACGTGGGGAGCTAGATAGTCAAAGAGGTTCAATCGGGTCAAGCTCTGTAAGTATATGGAGATTGCAAGATGCTTTTAATGCATGTTTTTCTTTTCATGTTACAAAGTAAGCGCTGTATAGTAACACTTAATTTTTAGTTTTTTTTTTTAAATTAGCATTGTTTGGTGGCTTGATACTCTTCATAGCATACATTTTGTGCTCTGAACTTCGTGTCTTGTTATTGTCATCATATGTGACGCAAAACACTGGATTCAAAGTTAGGCTACTTATTCATTCTTATCTAAGTCATTATTTGCTTTCCAATGACGAGAAAGCCTTTTTTAAGGTCTGTGAAACTACAGGATTCTACTAGAATAAGAAACAACTGTCTAGAGAAGCATTGTCTTAACATTTCTGCTTCTCCGACGAGTTGCAGCCTGGATGAGTTTTCCTGTCAGTTGAGAGACCTGAAGAGTGCTTGTTCAACAGATATCATAGTGCTAGCTGCGAACTTGAATGCATAATTTGAGTGTCTTTGCTCAAAAGGGAATCATTTTAGGTGGTCAATATGGTGGCAGGTCGGATAATGGGATCCGTCTTCTGCAGCTTTGCGTAGATCACAACTCATTTCTAGTCAGCACCAACTTCCTCCACACTCATCTCTGTAGTGCTATCTAGCGTTCTCCCTCTGTCACCCAAATAAATCTTGTTATTATCAACCACTGATGGCATTAGGCACTTATCCAGGTTCTAGTTAGGCTTTAGTTTGGTTTAAGTTTATTTTGCGATTTGGTAGTGATCATAATCGTCGTCCTCAGCAAGTTAATGTAAGTCAACTGTTATTGCTTGTTACCACTGCTAAGTATCAGACATGGCTAGGCCTGGTACTAACCGTTCACACAAAGTAAATGAACATTAGCTACACTTACAAGACGCCACGCTTGGCAGAACATCCCACGTAAAACTACTGGGTTTCTGTGAGTGCCTTCCAACTTCTTAGCACCACTGATACAAAAACCTGCGTATGGTTCCTACTCATAGAGTCAAATAGCACTCCTGTAAGGAGTGTATCGGCTGCTGGTGAGGATGTGCGTGTTAGGTGAAATCGTCAGCTGCGTCTTGCAATAGTCGAAAGCTATTCCAGCTCATCCTCGCCAGTGACAACAAGAAGCATGGTGTCAGCGAGACTATTTGTGAGGCAAACGGTTCTCCTTTTACTAAACTAAAAAAATTCCTGGAACACTCGGCGGAGCACTTTAAGAAATAGTTTAGATAGATGACAGCGTCATTATCTAACATTATCAATCTCAGTGCTTCATGTTTGGCTAGTACCGACCCACCTGACGAGATGGAAATCCTAAAGGAACTCCAAGTACTCAAGCGCCATAATGGTACTTGACCCAGACAACCTTTCCTCAGGTCTTGTAAAGATGATAGTGAGATAACAGAGAATTGATTGGATTATTTAGGAAAGTATGGGAAAGCAAGAATGTTCCACCAATGTGGAGTGCAGCTTTTATCGTGTCCATCTTTAAAGAGGGACCACGTAATCATCGGAGTATAATTCTGTCACTAGTCGCGCTTAAAATATTGACTAGTGTCTTGCTCCGCGGTCTTTGTAAGATGTGGGAGAATTTGATTCGTGAAGAGCAGACTGGATTTTATTCAGGCCGTCGATGCAGTGGTCATGCGTTCAATCTACCAGTTGCCAGGACATAGGCATACATATTGCAGATTAACTGTTGCTGTTTCCTGATATTAGGCTTCGATTCATTGGAATTGTTTGTTAGAAAGAAGTGTTCTTGAGAAGTTTTCCAAAATCCTGAAAGCCCTAAACAGAAACATCTCAGGTCAAGTGCATACACTCAACTGTCACTATTCTTCTCAACCAACTGTAGGTTTAGGCTTGGTTGCCCAATTTCATCATTTCTCCTTAACTCTGTCATCGGTAACATTGCTGAAACAGCTCTGAAGGATGTGCGTGGTGGTGTAGATCTGCTACCCGGGTAAAGACTTTTCTACCTCGAGTATGCTAACGATATCGTCTTATTGTGCGATAACATACACTCTGCTCATATCCTTCTCAATCACTTGGAATGTGGTATATGCTTTGCGTCATTTAAATGCAAAGTATTGGTGAGAGACTGGCAGGAACCCGTACTTGCACTAACCTTCGCATTGGAACCGTTACGAGAAGATAATATTGCGTATCTAGGTAGTTGTGATTGCTGGTGGAGGAGTAATGAATGAGACTTCCAATAGTATATTGGAAGCCAGGACAATATGTCATTCTGGCCCACTTCTAGCATCGTCTTGGCGTTAGCATGGCCGTGAAAGGTGGAGTTTACAGTGCTTCGGTGCGTTCACTATTGTCTTACATCTGTGAAGCCGTGCCTCCGAACTAAGAATGTGTGGCAAGTCTACGTATTCGACCATCGCTGCCCCCATAGGACTGCTTGCATCCGGTATAGTCACCATGTGGGTAATTCTAAGGTCCAGCGGCATGTGTTCATATACAGTAGATGTCGTCATCTTGGAACACTGGTTTCGGTGGGTTTAGACAAGTACTAAGAATGTGATCCCAGCGGTTTCCTTACCTCTCACTGTTTGCTAGCCTTGGGAATAGGTGGAGAAAGCGGAGTGGCAGTTAGTCTATGATGTCGGGCTGTGGGATGAAAAGTAGTTCTGTTAGGTTGGTGTCTGTTGGTGCATCAAGACTCCCTGGGTGGAGTCTGAGAGCTAATTTTAATCAGTGGACTAAGGCTTTATTAGACATGGCTGGGAATACTAATCAATGATGAACATGCCGCACTTTCCTCCTTTCCTCTCTGTCTGAATGTGACATAAAGTGATGAACGCCCCGCAAATTCTCTTAATTAGTATTCCTGGTTGTTACCGTTATGATCCGGTTTTTCAATTCTTCTGCTTCATTCCCATATTTTATGTTTGATTATTTTTGTATGGTACATCTCTTAGTGGCAGTATTGTCGCAAATTTGTTTTTTTTTTAAACAGGGATTAAAACCTGATGCCATTTAAAAAATAGAAGTGCGAAAAGTCACTATATAAAGGAAATGATGTGCGTCGGTGGCACAGCGATTAGGACTCTCGCCGACCATGCACGTGGTTCGGGGTTCGATCCCCGGTCGACGCACACCTGATATCAATGGTTGGCCTGCAAAATTTGAGCTACCGATATCGCATGCTGAAAATTCAGTACTTGTACCAAAAATACTGTGTGGTCCCAAGTTATAATCAAAATAATAAAAAAAATACGAGATGTGTAAGAGACTGGCTTGTGTAAAGATTTCTTATTTCTTGTAAAGATGAAGTATTTTTATCACTGAACTAAAAATGACCCTGTTGTCTTAAATATACCATTTCCAATGAATTTTTGAAACAAAATATCTTGGTTTCTACGACCATTTTCTACTTTTATGTTCACTTTATCAATTAAAGCATTTCGATTTTAATGTAACATCGTATTTTGTTGTTTTCAATGGGCTTATGTCGAAAGAAATAATAGTCGATAAATGTAAATATAGAAATGCTTTCACTAGTTTTTGGTAAATGTATATTCTTTTGCTTCTAATGTGTTTTTAGAATTATCAACCGGAGGCTGATCATGATTTTTACCAGAACGACTGTTTCTCATCTAAAGTATCTAATCAGAGCAGTGATTATGTGTACAGAATGTATGCTAAATTAAATGAACTTCGTTGGTATGTCTCTTATGTTTTTTCACTGTTCGTTTTAAAAGGTAGTTGTGTTCATATAGTTATTGTCTTATTAATCTTGTTGACGTTAAGCAATCAAAGTAGGAGATACATGCGTTGGGTATTGTGTCAGATTCATTTGGTTATATCATTCGAAATAATTTATACGTAAAACATATTTAATGGTTATTTATATAAGTATAAAAACTGGGCACTGTGGTAGAGTATATCTCCATTGTAGATAAGATTTTATTTTGATAAATCACACAGTGTTCGTCATACAGTAATATTAACTGATGACCATGTTTGGAGCACAAACTATTGCCACTCATAATCATATCAAGTCACACACACAACATTTCTTGCTTCATTTATATACATGAGTGAAACTGATTAGACATTTGAATAAGAATCAATATGGGATTATGTACATTCAGAAATAATAATATGAGTGTTATGGGTCAATTACAATCAGATGGGAATTAAGACGAGTGTTTTTTATAGTTATAATAAGGAACTTGTTAGAATCTTGTGATGTACGTGAATTGAAATAGAATTTTGAGATTATTTATTATCTTATTCTGATTTGACTGGCGGTAATAATATCTTCCATATCCCTGGTATTTGCATTCAGTCATTTCTGTGAGTTGAACTGCATAGGTCAAACTAGTAGGTCGGGGATAGTCAAATTGTTGGAACATAAGAATTTAGCTAAGGTAAGAATGGTTGACCCCGAGAAGATAAGTAATTTAGAAAAAAGCTCAGGGATTGAATACCACACAATAGGGTGGGAGAGGGTTAAAATTCTAAAAAGTAATATAAGTAGGTGGAGATAGAGAGAGATTGATTGCTGCATCCTGGTTCATTGAGGCTACACCCAACACATGCAGCCGAAATGTCTCAATGCAAATACCAGAGATATGGAAGATAATATTACCGCCGGTCAAATCAGAATAAGATAATAAATAATCTCAAAATTCTATTTCAATTCACGTACATCACAACATTCTAACAAGTTACTTATTATAACTATAAAAAACACTCGTCTTATTTCCCATCTGATTGTAATTGATCCATAACACTCATATTATTATTTCTGAATGTACATAATCCCATATTGATTCTTATTCAAATGTCTAATCAGTTTCACTCATGTATATAAATGAAGCAAGAAATGTTGTGTGTGTGACTTGATATGATTATGAGTGGCAATAGTTTGTGCTCCAAACATGGTCATCAGTTAATATTACTGTACAACACTGTGTGATCGTCGCCTAAAAGTCACACCCACTTTAGATCATATTGTACCTATATAATGATACTCATAAATAGATTTCACTTTCCAAAGCATATTTTATCGTGTATGCATTCTGATCTCTTAGTAAAACTTGTATGGTTTGCTTTCTTTTCAGTCAAGGCTTGTTTTGTGATGTGGTTCTACAAGCCGGTACAACGAAAATACACGCTCATCGTAATGTGTTGGCAGCTAGTTCTCAGTATTTTCATGCAATGTTTACAAGCCCAATGACTGAATCCCGATCTCCTTGTGTACATTTTCATGGAATTGAAGGATCAGCGCTTACCCAGTTAATTAACTTCATTTACACCAATGGTATGTTCATGGTTTATGTACATTTTTCGGCATAAACTTTTGTATTATTTGGTCTTTTGACTGTGAATTCTACTGCATTAGACAGTAAGGTGTGCTTGCTGTTGAAGCACTGTATCCCAATTGGAACCTATAGGAACAATAATAACAATATAATAACATGCAATAAGATACTGTGAACCCAGATTTCTTATTTGTTGTTACTCTGTAAACACACTAGCGATGATGGGGGGAGGGAACTAACATTTTTTGCAGGAGTTAAACTAACTATTCTGGTGTATCGGCCCCAGGGTTTTCTGCTCACTTCAGATCAGTTTAGTTAGAGGAAGTCTGTCCTCATGTCTTGGGTCTGTAGGGATGTGAATCTCTTCACTAATTACAATCAGTTGAAAACTAGGTAGTGCTGAACACCTGTTTCAATCTAGTCTGGGATTCATATGAACCATTGGATACCGCTCACATCAATTTGACTGAAAATATGCTTTGTCAGTTTGCGGAGAACGTACTTATATTCCCTAAAACATAACATTTAGATGAAACCAGATAAATTTTGTGAAACTCACTAGGAATACGAGTGTAGTGTCTGGTCACACAGTATCTGTCAGGTATTGATACTTTTCTACCACTTCTGGAATTTTTGTGCTTTTCTTTGATGCTTTTTTTTACTTTGTTTTAGAAATTAGTGTGAATGAAGAAAATGTGCAAACCCTCTTACCAGCTGCAAATTTATTACAGCTCACAGCAGTTCGTGATATATGCTGCGAATTCCTGCAGTCTCAACTGCATCCCAGTAATTGTCTAGGTATTCAAAAGTTCGCTGATTTACATAACTGTCAAAATTTACTCGATTTTAGTCGGCGCTTCACGGAGCAACATTTCGGGTACGTGTTTCTTCCTAATAAATGATTTTTAGAAATATTCGTATCATTAAATTAGCTTATATTTTAATTTGTATCCTTCAGCAGTATGGATAGCTGTCTTATTACAACCATAAACAGTGTTATTCGCATTCCTACAGCACAGTAACGTCGAAAGGTTTTTTCAGATAAGACTTTAAAAGAGTGGGAATTTCCCCTTCGTTACCAGCATCTCTTTATTATGTAAGAGAACTGAAGATTGCTTGATCGAAAAAGTCATCTTCAGGGACTGTCCATTTAGCGGACATTTCCACAGCATCAAATTTCGCACTGTCGGCATCTTCAATGCCTATGAATCACTCCTATTGTCTTACAGATTATTCCGTGGTTTTTGTCGTAAGAAATCACTTCAGAGTTGCTGCGTATGTTATGTTGCACATCCAATTAGAGCCTTTGAGAATGACTTAGTCAAGTAGGAAAATTTCCTTCACTGAGTGCTTGTTATCTAAGAATTCTTCAAGTGAATAGATACCAAGATCGTGTCACTGATTGTAATCGATAGTTTTTTTTGCGATATCACGAAAAATATATACTTATCACTAGCTTTCTTCAAAGATCATCTGTAATAGTTTCATTAGAGTATTGGCGATCTCTGAACTTACTTTTCACAAATATTTATCTTGATTATACACTACAAGTATCTATTCCGTTTTCTCCTCAGTACATTTTCTTAGGAAAAGGTATAGCAGTTTCATTTGCATTTATTGTATTATTAATTTCAAGGTGTGGTCGTTCATCTATTTAAAAAAAATCTTTTATTCTTGTAAACTTCAATGATTTGTAGGAGGAAAATAATTAACCCAATGTCTTGTATTTGGATAAATCGTATTTGCTACAGCTAACATTTTACTCGAGAAGCATTTTTGTTTGTTGCTGTCTGAATATTAATTATCTTCATTTCTGTTTCAGTGAACTACTGGAACAAGATGATGAATTCTTGAAATTGGATTCAGATCAGCTTGTGGAATTAATTTCAAGCGACAGGTTAGCTGTTTCAGAAGACCAAGTTTTTGAAGCTGTTCTTCGATGGATTGCACATAATCCAAATGAGAGACAATCAGAAGCTCAAAAACTCTGCTCACATGTCCGATTCGCCTTTTTACCACGCGATTATTTAGCATGCCTAAGCCGGTCGGATGCTTTTTTAACAGCGAATCCTTGGTGTAAGGACTATTTGATTGAAGCACTTAGTTATCATTTATTACCATGGGACCGAAAACTACGGATGGCCTCTGAACGCACAAAGCCACGAATCCCAGATAGGTTACCAAAAGTACATATTTTACTTCCAATGTTTACGTAACTTTTTTGTTTTCCACAATGTTTACTTCATGGTTTTTCGCAGTATTGTATTGTTTTACAGAAAAGATTGAAGTAACCTGTCTTTTTTTTTCGGGTAAATATCGCCTCGCTGGAGGGCCAATATGCACATACGATTAAAGTAGAACATGGATAGCGAGCATCTGTATTGTAGCTTCAGACCAGTTAAATTGTTTCCCAAGCTGTTGTGCTTAATGTTCCAGCTGTTTCTTCTGAGAATTCATTAAGGTCCCATCCTTCTTCAGAATAATTTCACTTAGCATAAGCTTAAACAGTTGATAAATATTGCTTGCTGTTGAGGCATTTTCCATTTATTTCTCTTTGCCTTTCATCTCTTATTTTACTTTGCTTTTTCAACCAACGATCTATCGTGCTTGAAGTGGTTGTCCCTTCATAACCTACCATGCTAAAAAGATTATAAGAAGACTAAGAGCGGCTACCATCACAGCAGAGTTGCTTAGACTATAATTAGGGTGGGGGGTCTTAGGGTTAAATCATGTTGCCTTTAGGAAGCCATTCGTATGTTATCTGGATGGATGCAACTGTGAAAATGAGGAAAGATCATTAGTTGCTTTCATGTTTTTTTTTGTAACAATCCACGCATCCACTGACTGCAGTTCCAGTGAAGTAAAGAATGAGTGTATGCAAATAGCCAGGATGCCCTTAAATATCTAGCTCCATGATTAGAACGTGAAATTTGTACTCGAAGTGGAGATAACTGGATGTCTATCTTAGTATTAGAGCAGTATTCATCGTGAGGAACCTTGTCAACACATTCAGTTTGTTGTAGAAACATTGTTGAAGACTGATCATAATCTGTGACAAAGGTTTGCAAGAGTCAGTGAATTTCTGTAATTCATCTCCGTACTAACGAGAGCAATCAGAATATTTCCCGTGGCTCCGAAAATAACGGAAGCTGCTCAAACTTAATTAAGATATATCGCAATTATTGTAAACAGGAGTGTGTAAGGAAAATAAAAACAAATGCTGGGTAATATCCACCTACTGCTAGGATTCATTAGGGTAGCAGGTAAATCTGCTAGTCTCCAAAGATTGTAGTAATTATGGAAAGACAAGACGTTTTCAGAAACAGTTACTGAACTTAAACCCAGGTGTACGTTTCAATTATCTTGCATAATCATCATATTGTGTTATGTGTAGTCCACCATTTTAACACTTAACTACATCTTGCTTTCCTCGTCTAGTAAAAGCTTTTCTATTTGTTCTTACTCTGTTTAGATTCTACTTGTTGTAGGTGGACAAGCACCTAAAGCCATCCGATCTGTTGAATGTTTCGAGTTTCAGGAAGGTTCCTTGAACTCTCTACAGACGAGTAATCGTTCTGATCCAGTTTTAGCTAGTCCATCTACTTCATCTCATTCTGTTTCAATGGAATCCATGAGTCTAGCAGTCCGCAGTGTTAATTTCAATGATAGTGGTTCAAATTCTGATGCAGCAATTATATCAGACCTTCCAAGTAGGCGCTGTCGCGCTGGCGTGGCTGTTGTAGATGGTTTAATTTATGTTATCGGTGGATTTAATGGTACTTTGCGTGTACGCTCTGTCGAAGTTTTTGACCGTATACGCAACACATGGCATTCTGGTCCAAATATGGAATTTAGACGAGCAACCTTAGGTGTTGCTGTTTTAAATGGCTTGATTTATGCAGTAGGCGGTTTCGATGGGATTGTCGGTAAGTTTTTCTTGTTAAGTGTCAGTTGTCTATATTATTTATTTGTTTCAGGTCTACAAAACCTAATCTTTGCAAAGTACTCTTTTGTATTTCTCATCTTACAAACAATATTCTTCATATTTAAGTAGGAAATATCTGGAATGGCTCTCAGAATATTTTTGTACGTTGCTCAAAACCTACATGTTATCGAATCAATAAATTTGAGTATAACGTGACAAGGACTGGTAGCAATTAGTGCTGCTACTTCAGTGTTCTGAATTCTGATTGTATTATTTGTATTCACTATATACATTCAGATTTTAGTTTTAGTTCACTTTACTTCATTCATATACTTCAGGCGTGATATCTCTGAATTTCCTGGAATGAATCAGTACGACAGTTTTGTTCAGCTTTTCATAAAGATGCGTCATGCAGTAGGTGAAGAGCGGAAATCAATAGACGAGGCTGTAAAGCTACATCGACTGAGATGGTTAGGACATGCGTTACGTATGCCTTGTTAATCGCGGCAGATAGATTGTATGATAGGCAGCTAATCAATATGATGTGACCTTTTGTCGCGATTATTGGTTTATTTAATGTAAACTCACATCACGTGATGTGACCTTGAGTGTTCTTTGTTTTCTGTCACTTTATTTGTGTGTACATATAATTAATTAACTTTCTATGGTTTGGTTTGTAAGGGTTAGTTATGTTTTTACGAGTTGATCACGGATTGATATCAGTTAGAGAAGCATTGAAAACCAGGGAGTACTGGACAGCTGTTTCATCCTAGTTTGGGAGTCATCGGCAGTACGTACCTGCTGGGGTTCGGACCCGGGAACTTCCAGTTACAGGGCAAGGTCATATTGCCATTCAGCCTCTAGGACCCGATTCAATGGCTCATGAATTCTAACTTCTACCAATTCGTGATTTAGCGTGACCCCTACCATTGTCATAGGTGGGACATCCATCCTCACACGTGACATCTGGATGGACCTCACTGGTCACGACTTCTCACTAGAACTCCAGGAAACTCCATCCTGTAGCAAGTCACTAACGAGCATCGGATTAATTTTCTATGGTTTTGTTTGTAAGGGTTAGTTTTGTTTTTTACGAGTTGATCACGGATTGATATCGGTTAGAGAAGCATTGAAAACCAGGGAGTACTGGACAGCTGTTTCATCCAGTGCGTCCTGCCGATGATTCCCAAACTAGGATGAAACAGCTGTCCAGTACTCTCTGGTTTTCAATGGTTCTCTAACTGATATCAATCCGTGATCAACTCGTAAAAACTAATTAATTGTTCATTTTGTCCATTCCCTCAATACTGTTTGGTACGTTTTTGTCTTTTCTTGAGTGACAATGGGTTTATATATTTTTCTTGGTGTAATTGTATGATTTATTTTATGTTTTAGAAACAGATAAAGTTTAAGTCAAGTCACTCTGTTTTTAACTATAGTTGAGCCAAGACTCTGTGTTGCCAGTGTTGAGCTGAAGGACTAAATCTGTAGGCAAAATTAATCCTACATGCCTAGCCATCGCTTTCCTCGACGGGCAATGGTAGCTGACATAGGGTCAGGTTGGAAAAGAGCCAGTGGTGGTCATGTTGTGAGAGCTGGCTGCTAGCCAAATTGGTAGACAGTAATTTACGTTAATGTTTACATCCCCAATATTGTTCGTGAGGAAAATAAGAACAAAGTCTAATTTAACAACCAACCACAGCAGACTTTTCGTAGGCGGATAAAATTTGCAGATAGATAATCTGAACTTCAGGAAACTGCCACAAAGAGATGAAAGATTAGCGTTCAACGAGAAACCACCAATCAGAAGACTGTGTTTGTTTGCTTACAATAATCTATAATAATGTACATGAAAGTCTATAAATATCTGTTGATTTCCTAAATAAACAATCTGTTGCCTGGCCCTTGTCTTCTGTTGTTACAGTCAAACCAAAACATGGCCTCATCAGTCAATGAAATCCAAAACAGTTAGTTTAGGCCACGTAGGAAGATGTAGACTTCCAGGTTAGGGTCTTCGGGACGGTAAACACCAATGACAGGGAACAATTGGTGATACGGCTCAAAATCGTTCTCTTGGTGACTTATAATACCCAATGAAACTATGTTGTTCTTCGTTAATACTATTCCTTTTGTCTCATATCCCTGTTTACTGTCTCTATTTTGTATTTCTTCTAGTTTCTTCTCTTGCTTTGTGTGCTACATGGAGTGTGGCGACTTGAACTGCTGCACATTGGTGCAAAGTTCTATGTTGAAACCAGTCAGTCATGTAGTAGCCTTATTTTTAAATAGTGTAGTCTATTACCGGTATTTCGTCTTTGTATGTTTATGTTTTCTTGCATATAAATTCAATGTACTATTCTGCTTCTAATATTATTATAGCATGACCTAATGGAGCTAGCAACCGTCTCTCCTATTTATATTTATATTTCCATGTAGTTTTTTATTTTTATTTTGTGAGATTTTAAAATAATGGTCTCCATATTACCTAAAACGAATTCCGATTTTGGCAGGTCTTAATTCTGCCGAAGTTTTGGATGTATGGTCAGGTAGCTGGCGATCTATCCCATCTATGGCATGTCAGAGGTCTTCAGTGGGCGTAGGTGCTGTGGACGGTAAAGTATATGCTGTTGGTGGGTTTGATGGAACAGTACGTCGTTGTCTTTCAACTGTGGAATGTTATGATCCAACTACTAATGCTTGGTGTATGGTATCCGAAATGGCATTCAGGTAATTTTTCAGTGTCGTCTTTATGATAACTTAACAAATTTTTGACATGTAGAGTTGCTTTATGTGTTCTTAGAAATTCTTTTTTGTTCATAGGCTTAATGTTCTTTAGGGAAGATATTCATTGGATCATTAAAACTCGAAGAGCACTTAGTTTAGGGAAGTCTCTTTTCGGCGATTTCGTTTGCAATGCTGTACAATCTCATTTTTGTATAGTTTTTTATTAGATATATTGTCATTATACGTTTGTCAAAATTAAAAAGTTACTTGTTAATAGTGTAGATTTATCAAAAGCTAACAGAAAACGTACTGAAATCAATAAGTGTACACTAGTGGTCACGTAATAATGAGGAATCATATGTTAAAGAAGCTCTATTTAATAATATATGCATCTCCGTCCATGAGGACCACTCGCGAATCTTTGTCTGAACGTGTAATTATTAGATTATTAAATAAATCAATTAATTTCATATTAGATATGTTTATTTGAATATCATACAGCGATGCAGCGTGGTATCTCTGTATGATATTGAAATAAACTTATCTAATGTGGAATTGTGCGTCGGTGGCACAGTGGTAGAGTGCTCGCCGACCACGCAGGTGGTCTGGGGTTCAATCTTCGGCTGACACACTCCTCTACCTCGCTAAGCCAGTGATAAGACTGGTAAAGAGAGAAGGTTGGGCATGGGGCTAGCAACCCCATCCTGTGAAAACTAATCATCACTGCTGCAGAAACTTCAGGCCTCGAGCTTGAAGTCCTATGTTCCACTGGTAACGTAAAGGAATAAAAAAATATGGAATTACATTCTACCACAGTGCCAAGTTCTACACTTACATTAAATGAATAAATTATTAAATTATCAAATCTTTAAAGAACTGAGAAACAAAGAAAGAAGCTTTAATCTCAGTAAAAGTGCGAGAAGAAAGATGAACTTATGTCGCATACGAGTAGAAGAAAACAAAATGGAGTTTAATAACTAGGAAGGGTATTCGAAAAAAATGAGGAAACATTGGAACGAAAAAAAAACAACAGTGCAAACTAAAGTTGAGATCAAGACGGCAGAAAATGTTGCACCAGTTTCTTCTGTGTGCATGGAATGAACGTCTGCATTTGGATAACTAGTGTCGTAGCATTGCAAAGAGTGCGAGTGCCTACCATTTTTGAAAGGCTTTTGTAGATAAGCTGGAATACGAGGTCTCTTGAGACTAAGTGTTCACTTTTCAGAATGTGTTCAGTTAAAGTGTAACGACGGAAGACAAGGGCTAGGCTGCATATCGTGTATTCAGAAAATCAACAGATATTTACAGATTTTTATTTACATTATTATTCCTTACTGTTATCAGAGAAGCATCCTCTTCTGATTGGTTGTTTTCTTGCTGAAGGTTATTTTTTATCTCTTTGTGGCCATTTCTCACAAAATCAAGTCATATATCTGTGATTCGTATTCGCAGACGTTAAGGCTGCTGTGATTGGTTGGTGAGTTCCTTATGGTTAAGCCTTGTTATTGTTTTTTCTCATGACCCTGATTCGGGTCGTAAACATTAACGTGAATTGTTGTCTACAATTTTGTTTTGCAGACAGCTCTCACCACAATAGCACTTTTTATCTATCTACTGTTTACACTTTTCAAGTAGATGACACAGTATTTGATAACACTCATCTTTTTCCTCACATATGTTTATATGTGTATGTGTGTGTATCAATAGTTTAGGTGTAGAGCTAGGGTATACATTTTGAAATTTCACTACATAGTTTGTAGCTGCAAAAATTTCTCATGAATCTGTGGATATCAGGATAAAGATTATAGACTATGCGTAATAGTAAGTGCCTATCCCATTAAAACAACTCCGATGAGACTGCTTAAAATGATATTTTTTGTAACACTTATTTACGCGTTAGTATAACATCATTGGTAGGTGTATCTTTCCAGCTTTTATCTTGAACTTTTGTTTAGCTCTATTCTTTTTTTTTTAATGATTTACACTAGACGAAGTGGGCCTGCAGTTTGTGCGCTGAATAACCGTCTTTATGCTGTTGGTGGTCACGATGGTCCCGTAGTACAAGTTTCGGCTGAAGTTTATTCACCTGAAACAGGAGTCTGGCAGCGTATAGCTGATCTGAATGTTAAACGCAGAAATGCAGGTAAATTCAATGCTTGTTCTCTAAACATGTAATAATAAGGTAGCAAATCGATTGTACTTTTTTCTTTAATTGAAGAAAACCAATTGATTCTCATTTGCTTCATGTGATTTATAACAATATAGTTATACAGAGAAGCTGATTTGTTCTCCTACTTATCGTGTTGTTAGTCTAACTTCACTGACTTTTGAATCTCAAGGTGAATTAATGTATTTGGATAAAATTTCTAAAGGTATAGTAATTATCAGTAGTGTAAAACTGAGTATAGTTAGATTAGTAATTGACGCTCAGCTCAGCTGAAGAATTTTATCACCAAAACTTAATATCGATTATCAAGACAAAACTTTCTTCACTCTTTCTCATAAAGTTTTTAACTTTTTCATTGACCTTTATTTAAACCATTCTTTCTCTTGTCATACTCATAACTTTTTGTTGCTCTGTATTTCTCCTTAGTGTGTACTTTACAGTGTGGCAATCTGAATTAATGAAAGTTTGATGAAAACGTTGTTTGCATTCGAACAGATTCAATTGTGGTGTTTTTCCTAGTTAAAAGCTAATAGCACCTTTACTTCGGCTAGTAAAGCAAACATTGTTCTCTCTTTGTGAATAATACGAGGACAAAACCAATAGAATTTTCAAGTATTGGTTTGTAGGGATTTCGTTGATTGGTTACAGGATTTCATCATGAGCTGACATTGGTTAGGGAATCATTGGAAAACCTGGGAGTACTGGACAGCTGTTTCGTCCTAGTTTGGGACTCTTCAGCAGTTCGCACCCACCGGGGTTGGAACCCAGGACCTTCTGGTTACAAGGCGAGCTCGCATACCATTAAGCCACTGGTTCTGATCCATTGCCCAGTCCATGAATTCTAACTTCTACCAATTCACGATATAGCGCAACCGCTAGCCATTGTCTTCGGCGAGTATTTGTCCTCACACCCGACCTGCTGCACCCTACTGGTCACGACTTCATGATGAAATCCTGTAATCAATAGAATTTTGTTCTATAATAAAAAAGGATTCATATTCAGTATTTAAGTTCTAGTCAACATAGAACCGGTTACTTGTTCAACAACAAATAATATTACTGCGCTTTTATAACTTTTTTTATAGCGATAGCTAATCATACTCACCAATAAATCGTTACATTTTCTGTCATAAATTCAGAATGCTCATGATAACCAAATTAATTCAGAGAATTATTGGAATTAGAAGAAATCTTAAGTCTGTTCTGGATTGCCAGACTAATTTTTCATCAACCTAGTCGTTTCACAATTTTCCTGTTAACCAGGTTTCTATTTCACCTCACTAACGAAGTATTCTGCTTGAATATGTGGATGGAAAACATCCTCTTGTATTTCATTGTACTACTTATTCGACGGGGTGTTTTCAATCCACGCGTTGTTGACGAGAGTCATACACGAATTAGTTAAAAAGCGAAGAGTGAAAGCAGACAGACAGACAGACAATTAGTTCCATTTATGAAATTAGATAAAGTAATAAGATGATGTACTTTGTCTGAATCTTGTAATGTATTTGCGCAACACATTTCGAACAATCTGATCACACACGGACTTGTCATAGGGATATATATTGAATTAATAAAGAGTTAAGAGGTGAGAAAATAAAGGACATATTGAAGGTCAAAATAACAATGACGATCACTAAACAAAATAACAGAGGTAATAGTACATCTGCTATGCTATCAAAACAAAATTTACTAAGGAAGGTTTAGTGTGATGACGAATTGTTTTTGAACGCATAAAGGCGGTTTAAACTTTCTAATTGCTAGGTTTTCCACAAACTTTAGGATACGCCCCAAACACGTTTTATAGATAGGTTTAAAAGATGTGTTAACGTCAATTTTATGTCCTATCTCCATAATATGTTTCGCAATGGAGGAGCTAGGTCTCCTGTTCTCACCATTAATGGGTTCTTAACATTCTATTTGCTTCTGGAGCCATTTAGGAATATGCTCTGAAGCCCTTATTTGCAGAGATCGATGAGTCCTCCCTATGTATGTGTGTCCACACGTACATTCAAATTGGTAAATACAGTGGGATGTGACATCATTTTTCGCATGTTCAAAGGGCTTAGATAGATATATTGGCTTCACATTCTCAATTATTATGATATTAGTTGCATAAAAAGTCTTTTTAACAGCAGCGTTCAGTCTTTGTCTAGTTACCAAGCTACTATGATGCCCCATATAGGGTAGCTTGATGTACACGTCTTTCTTAGGGGCGAGTTGGAGAGTGGATCTTGATGTTCTGACTACTTTATATCTCCTGATAAACTTGCCTGGAAAATTGTTATCAACCAGAGTTTGTGTCAACTTTCTTTCTTCTTCATTAAGTTGGTGGAAACAATCGCCTTCAAATGTAAACCTAACATTGTTAGTACATAGAAGTAATAAATCCCTTTAATAATATATAGGGAACGGGATGAAAAAATAGTTTGTGGAAATGCAGTCACACAAAATGTCAACTGTTTTGAGCAAAGGCACATTAGTGAATAACGAGTTTACATCAAAAGAGTGCATATTCTTATTCATAATATTAATATCGTCAAGAAAATTAACCACTTCAAATGTATCTTTTAACACATACTTAGAGAATTGTGTTTAGCAAGTTTATGCGTTGGGGATTTGCAGATTGACAATATAGGACGTAAAGGATTATTGGGTTTATGTATTTCTGGCAAACTATACATATGCGGGAATTTACATTCTGATGGTTTTAAAGAGTCAAATGTATCTTTACTTATAGCATTTAGGCCATGAAGCTTCACTAGATTACCTGTCACTGTGCCCTGCAACAACTGAATATCTTCTGAGGAGGGATCACGGCTAAATTTGCTTTTATCATCAAGAATAGACATCATTTTATATTTGTAGTCACTTTTATTCATAATGACGACTCCAGAACCTTTATCAGGTTTCGTAATAATTATATTAGAGTTTTCACGTAGCTCTTTCAAAGCTTTGAAATGCTGGAATTTAAAATACTTTTCCCCTTTGGGTTGTTGTTTAAAAACTGGTGAGCTATATCCACCATCTTGGCCTTAAACCAACCCCGATCTTCATCGGATGTTGCGGCAAGAGGTTTGAGTTGGTCAAATAAGTTTTCAAACTCAGCATGGATGGCTAAATCCGTGAATTGCGTGTGAGGAACACAAAATTTAAGTCCAAGGGATAAGGCTTCTTTCTGGTGAGTAGATAGAGTAATATCAGAAAGATTTGTAACATATTTATCAGGATTCAACGGAAAAAGATCTACGTGGTTTCGATCATCAATTGAACTCTTCAACTTATTTTGTATATTTGTCTTTGTTTTCTGAGTAACATCTTTACAAAACTGAAAGAATTTCATGTGGCATATTATCGATAATTCGGATAAAATAAATGACTCATCGGTATGAAGAACAAGTAGTCCTTGTAACGTTTGTCTACCATTTTCGATATATGACTTTGTAAGACGAACAAGATTAGAGAAATTCGGTTGTAATTTACTGAATTTGAAAGGTTTATACAATTGCCTCTGGAAGGAATGATTTTTAATATATAATTCATAAAATTCCAACGTGTCACGTTCGGCGATAATTTTACACAAATACATTACACGATTCAGACAAAGTACGTCTTCTTATCAGAATTTAATACTTTTACTTTTTTGTGGTAAATACATCAAATTTTTATTTCTCTTCAAGGATTGGTTGCACACGATGGATTTCTTTACGTGATTGGTGGTGAAGATGGCGAAAATGATTTAACCAGTATAGAAAAGTACGACCCTGCTACAAATACATGGGCTTTACTTCCAACTAACCTTAGAGTCGGTCGAAGTTACGCTGGTGTTATTATCATGGAACGTAATGCTATCTAAGGTATCATTATTCACCTGAATGTATGACAATGTGTTCAGTCTTTTCATAATTATTTTCAGTTATTGTTTTTGTGAATCTTGGTCTTTATTTTCTTACATTCATCTTATTTTTAAGCTGAATACTGTAAGCAATTTTGTGTACTATTTGTTTCAAACTGCCCTTAATTTCATTATCAGTATTCTCATCATGCAGTTGGCTCTGCCATAGTTGTTGTTCCTTTTTCGTACTACTACAACAATGCGTGAAGATGTAGTTTATAGTTCGAATGTCATTAATTATGAATTATTTATCCGAGTAGAACACTGGAAAATCTGCTTATTTTTGTTTGTATGTATAATCTTTCTACTGGTTTGTGTGTGTGTGTGTTTGTGTAAGTATGTATGTATGTCTGTATGTATGCATGAAAAGTTAATAAAGCATTTTGATTTATATTTGCACGTTATTGTACTTTATTCTGCGTTAAGCGGGTAATGGTATAAATTTAGGTTTCACATACACTTATGTGTATCACGTGGTTATAGCTGTGTGCTTCAACTGTTCTCTTACTGCGTTAACGCATATTTTACGTCTAAGGGTATAGTGGTCTTATTTGCGAACCAATCTTGTGAAGTATAGTTCTCATGGTTGTCTGTCTACGTGAATTCAACATAAAATTTCATTGTCGATCTCGTTTTTCATCATTTTTCATGGAATACGACATGAGTCCAATGTACCTCCGTTGCTAATTTCCCTATTCATCTGTATATGGAAGATGAAGTCTTCTGTGTGTAAATAAGCGTCTAGTGTGTACATTGTGTTCTGTGTCTGCTCACTATATTCTTTCAGTTCAAGTTGTTACAGTACTTACATCATCCTCTTGTACAAAATTGTACGAACCAGTTTTCTATTTGATTGAATGCCTGATTTCTAGAATTGTATGGATTTATTCGTTCATATACGTAAACAGAAATAAAAATGGAATTGTTTTCAACTGTTATTACAGTCTATATTTCGTATTGTCCAACAATATATATTACACATTTGATCATAGGAAATAAAAAAAGACAGTTGCAGCGAAGGAAATTTTCTTTTTGACGAAATCATCAACTAGGCTGTACATTCGTGTATTTATAATAAATGGGTAGGAAAGTTCCAGAATAATTTCCGGTCAAGGGTCAGATATACGTACTTACTTATTGACTAACATTTTAAAATTACGAGTTGATCACGGATTGATATCAATTAGAGAAGCATTGAAAACCAGGGAGTACTAGACAGCTGTTTCATCCTAGTTTGGGAATCATTGGCAGTACGCATCCACCGCCAGGGTTCAAACTCAGGACCTTCCAGTTACAGGGCAAGCTCGTAGACCATTCTACCACTGGGACACGATTCAATGGCTCATGAATTCTAACTTCTACCAATTCGTGATTTATCGCGACCACCAACGAACTGGTTGATCAGGTCCCAGTGGCTGAATGGTATACGAGCTTGCCTTGTAACTGGAGGGTTCTGTGCTCAAACCCCAGTGGGTGCATACTGCCGATGATTCACAAACTAGGATGAAACAGTCGTCCAGTACTACCTGGTTTTCAATGGTTCTCTAACTGATATCAATCCGTGGTCAAACTCGGGAAAAACAAATTTAATGCTTACAAACCAACTATAGAAAATTTTAAAATTAATTAAGTGACTTGTTTAAATCATAAAACATCTAAAGTGGACGAACTTAATAAATGTTGAAAAATTTGAAATTGTTTTATAGCAATACAAGCAAATATCTAATGTCTAGAGAGTGACAAATTGAACTAATTCGTAATTTTCTAACGTTACTCACAGGGAATGTGATTTGACCGTCGTTTTCAGCAGTACATACCAGTTGTCTACCTTGTGATCGGATTCAAATCTCAGTTTCTAAAGTAAGTAGTTCAGTTAGCGGATGCATTTCTGTTGATTGTGAATTGTATCCTCAGTTAACTCTTGTGTTCTCACCCTAATTATGTTACTGGATTTATGGACTACTTGAGTGAAAATGACCAATGTTAGTTACCTCAGTTCACATGAATGATTATTATAATTTTTTGCTAATACTAGAGTTTGTAGATTTACAGTTTTGGTTCACTGAACATTATTAAGTGTTGATTTGCAGCGATTTGATTGGCTTAAAGCTAAATCGCTTACTGACATGAGTTAGAGAAGCAATGAAAACCAGAGGGTACTATACTAAACAGTTGTTCCATCTTGGTTTGGCTAGTTTTTGCTACAGAAAAGTCGGCTGTTCAAGTGGTATTTCTCTGTAAAACCATTACTTTTAAATTTGCTAGTAATGCTTGAATAGGTTAACATCTGCGTCTCTTTATTAGACGAGTATTATTATCGTTCCCTTGGGTTTCGAGTGGAACATAGGGCTCTACCAACACATCTCCACTTTGTTCTATTTGATACTCATTGGAACATTAGATTGAGAAGAATAACAAGTTCAGCAAAGATATCTTTTCGCCGAAAAGATATCTCCTACATGTCACCTTCGCGCCGACGACCCACCCGTCGCTTCCCATTGGAATTCCATCCGAGTAATGGTCTGGCGCGCAGTTTCGTTTGACGGCCTCCTCAACGTGTGCCCAGTCAATCCATCTCCATTTTCTCCTACATATTTGTTGAGCTATCGGCTCTTGGTTGGTTTGTTCCACTGCAAAGTTTCTTGTTATCAGTTCTTTCTGGTCTTCACTATGGAGCCAGCAAGGACAGTTGTGGATGAACGTTTGCAGTTGCCTGTTGGAAATCCTCTTCGAGACACGCATGCCAAGTTTCTGACCCGTATAGAAGAAGTGGCTGACTTGACATTCGTGCTGAAAATTGGAATCTTGTTCTTTGTGCTGGCTGAGTGAAGCAGGAGATTTGCAAACTGATTTCTGGTTGATGAAGGCGCATGTTGACTTTCCGATTCTGGCTGGCTCTGACATCTTCATCCGTGCTGTGTGCCTGTGGTTGATCCTGTGCTTCCTAGATAAGTGAAGGCAGGAAGTGACCTCTGTTAAATCTCTACCGTCGATGGTGATTGGTGCTGCTTGTTGTTGTTGTTGCGGTTCGTTGGTTGTCTTCATCACCTCCATCTTCTCTGTGTTCACCTGGAGTCCCGTCTTCGCTGCCTACTTCTTCAGCCAGTTTGTTGGTTTCCCCTTACAAGTCTTCGAGTTTGTGTGAAATTAGGCATATATCATCAGCGAAATCCAGATCTTCTAGAATTTTCTTATCGGCCTAACATATGCCTTTCTCCTCAATCCCAACGCACAGTCTGACGTATAATCCAGTCCACCGCAATTAAGAATATCATCAGTGAAAATGGCAGCCAAACTTCGAACGCCTCGCTGGACTTTCGTTGTGTATCACCTGACACGTGCCACTGTCATAAAGACATCTGCTGAATGAAGTTGATAAAGACTTGGGCATTGTACTCCATAGTGTTGAAGTAGTTTCCAAATTACTTCTCGGTCAACGCTATTGAAAGCCCTTTCGAAGTTGATGTAGGGAGAGGTTGGACTGCCATTCTATGCTTTGTTCTGTGATGAAGATGCGTAGAGTTGCGATTTGGTCAGCATATGATTTATGTTTCCTCAATCCAGCCTGTTCCAGGTGGAGTTCTGCATCCAGTGCATCCTTTATTCTCTCCAGGATGATGCGACTTAGTATTTTACTTTGTGTGGACAAGAGCATTATTCCATGCCAGTCCTTGCAGAGGCCTAACTAAGTCGCCCTTCTTTGTCACCTTGACAAGATAGCCAGGCTTTCTTTCAATCGGTAGGTACCTTTCCTTCCCTCCAAACTCTTTGCAATAATGGCGGGAAAACATCTACCGCAGTCTATGGATCCGTTCTCAGTGCTTCATGGTGGGGGATTCCGTCCGGCCCTGCTACCTTCCCATCTGGCCTTCAGTAGCTTGGTTGCTTTCAAGATTTCCGCCGATATTGGTGGATCGCTGTTCACCGGAAGTTCCGTGTGTGCTGTTGATAGTATTTCTGGGTGTGTTACAGGTGGCGGTCGATTCAAGATTTCTTTAAAGTGATCAGACAACTGTTTTATTTGTTTGTCCTCCTTGTTAATCAGCTTCCCTTGAACATCTCTGATAGGTTTCATGTGCGTTGATGTCTTCCGGGATAGAGGCCTGGCTATGTGATATGATGTTCTGAGGTTTCTTTTACCTGCCGCCGCCTGCCTGCTTGTTCTTCTTCAGTCACCTCCAGCCAGTGTGTCATAGAATAGTCTTTTGTCTCTCCTAGCACTGTTCTTCACATCTTTCTTGATTCACTGCAGTGAACATCTCTGTGAACTCAGCTTCTCCTTCTGTTGCATATCTTAGCATTGAGTCATCTTCTGTTTCACCATCCTCCTCTCCTCTCTTTTATTAGCTTCCAGGTAGGTGTCCGTTGACAGCCATTCCTTGTCGTGTCACTTCTTTCTTCCTAGAAAAGTTGTGCACGTTTCCTTGAACATCAATTTCAAAAGTTAGTTAGTTCCAATGTTCTTCCACTCAGGTTTTCTCGGTGAATGTGACTTGGCTCTGATCTTATTTGTAGTGAAGGCATCCCTTGTGGTTTTGTCCTTCAGTTTCTGAATGTTGAGCTTGAATTTCAGTGGCCTATCTCCAGTTGTTTTGAGGGATTTCAGCTTCACCTTGAACTAGTTGATGACCTGAGCCCACATCTGCTCCCCTTCTCGACTTCGTGTCTAGCAGACTGGCTGCGTCTCCACTTCCTTGTGGAGCATTTAGATGAAATCTATCTGGTTTTCGGTGTGTCCGTCAGGTGGAATCCATGTTGCTGTGTGTATATCCTTGTGCTTGTACACGCTGCCTCCAATTACTAAATAATTGAAAGCTCAGAAGTCTTTGAAGAGTTCTGTGTTGTCATTGATTTCTCCGAACGAGAGCCTCTCGATCCATGATGCGTTATTTTCCTGTATTATTAGCTCCCAGTTTGGCATCCATATCGCCCTTGAGGATTTTTATGTAACCATTTGGTATGTTGTCCATCACTGTTTATAGATGTCTGTAAAAATCTTCCTTCCTGTAGCATTGGATAATTGTGAGCTTCTTTCCCTCCTTTTGATTTGAATCTTGCTGTCATGATCCTGGATGAAATTGTTTCCCACTGTATTAGGGCTCTGTCTGCCGCTAGTGACATCATAATAGCCACTCAGCGCCTGAGTGTGCTCATGGTTGTCGTCTGGGTGACCAGACCGGAGTAGATTACTGACTCCCCAGTTGACAATTTTGACAATCCACATCCATTCCATCTGCTCTCGAAGATACTCAGCACTTCTATGCCATATCTTCGCATTTTGTTGGCATTCTGAGTAGCCTTCCTAGCCAGCCAAGTACATTGTATGCATATTCCACGTCCTCATTCGTATTCTTCCTTTCATCGAGAGAAGACACATCGTTTGGCTGACTGGCTTCCCTAAGGTTTTCACCAGCCCACTGTGTCATTTTGCCTCTCCGATTCCAGTGAAGAATCAGTTTGTTTTTTATATTTTTTGTATTTTTAATATTTTTTTGTGCGTTGAAGTTTCTGTAACAGTTTGATGGTTTTTTTGGTGTGGGGTCGCTGGCATTAGTGAGCTTACACACTAATAATAGAATCTTGACATTTCGGATTATACAGAAGCCTTTTAATTTTTAATAATACAAGGGAAATACCAAGAAAATTATCATTAATCAATCTGTAGTTAAAACAAAGGCCGTATTTTTTGGTTGAAAAAATGGAATGCATTGTTGACTTGCTTTGCCAAAATAATATCTGTTAGGTATCATTCAGAGTGAACTGCAGAGGTTATCTAGATGCACCAGGTGACTGTTTTAGACCACCTATTTAGATATCGACTTTTGATCAAGGCCTACGACGTGGTTATTTAATTTACCACTTTTTATATGTTCACATCGAATAGAAGGTGATAAGAAGGAAGTGGAAAATGAAAATCATGCAACCATCGCAAATCATATTACAAGTAGTGATAAGGCGAATTGGAAAACGTATGAAGATAAGTTTGCGAATGAAGTACGTGGGTTTGTAATTGGTTCTAAGTCTTATTATCTAGAATATTTAACCATAGGTTCACGCACTCATGTTGGCCCTATCAGGCTAATTGCACTCCATAACGTAGTTCAAATTAACAGTGAAAAGCTTCGTAAACCGGTAATTCTTTGTTCTTGGACAGAAAGTG